AGGCAGTATTGGCCCATGTGGATTTTGTGCTGACTGGTCTGACCCTTATCCCCGTGATGCTGGTGAGGAGCTTCCAAATCTATTCTGAACTTTGCCTCATGCTGGCGATGTGAGCCACGTGGGAGCTGTTTAGAAGCATACTCCTTCCCTTCTTTGTTTTCAGCAAGTGCAGTTTGTGTGAAAGGAATGTTTTAAGAATGGCTTTGGGGGCCTGGTTAGAGATTAGATGAGTTAATTTCTTCCTACTCTTAGAAGGAAAAACTGGTTGGGTCAGACAGTCATTTAAAAAGATATCTCTGTCTTGCTAATAATAGCAAGCAACTGTTAACAGGATTTTGAGGTGGGGGGGCACACACACAAACCCAAATCATTGACATTTGTGATGTAAATATGGAAGAAAGCTGTAAATTCCCTGTATTTTGTGCAGAAGCCCAGATGTTCCAGGCTGGACTTGCTCCTGAGGGGAGGGCTGCTCTGGGGGAAGGCTGCTGTCGGAGTGCAGGTTTCATATTTTCAGTTTGCAGCACTAAGTCTTTTTTGCTTCCTATAGTGAAAAGGCTGCTTGCAAACACTCTGCATTGTCCGTCAGAAAGAACTGGGTTTCTAATTACTTGCTATGTATAGTTTTGGAGGGAATGTGAAATATGTATCAAAGAGCCAAGAAATGCACCAATCATCACTCTCACTCTAACTGAGATTGAGCTCGGGGACAGTGCTGCAGTTAGGCTGGATGCGTTTCTCCACCTAAGAAGAGGGCTCTGGACAATAAAGTTTCTACAGTTGTTATAGTTGTTATAATGTCTCCTTTAGTTGTTACTGGTTTCCTTCCTTTATTTCTGCTTTGTTTGTTTGTTGCATGCAGTTTTGGGAAGGGCTTGGGTACAAAGGCTAAACATTTTATTTAGGGAACATGTATAAAGTCAGCAAAAGACTTTAGGACCAGTTTGATTAAAGGTGGGGGTGCAGAAATGATGTTCTATAGGAAATTGTGTTGGATTCTGTAGGTTGATAGGACTGGAGAAGGTTAGTGCTAAGAAGAAATGTTTTCCGAAAGGAAGATCGTCCTATTAACGTATACGTGGTAGTACTAGGTTCCAGCGTTTTGTTGTACTTCTGAGGTCTTTTAAGGAAATTTCCCCATTAAGTTGTCATCCGTATCTATGTCTTCAAGTGCTGTATTACTGATGAGTTCCTATCCTTTGTATGGACTCTCCTAGATGGCTATGGGAGTCTTCGAGAAGGCAGACGTGATTATACTAGAGCATTATCTGTCTTGGTCACCATTGTATCTCCAATGCCTAGAAGTGTGCCTGCACCTAGTAGGTACTCAGTGAATATTTACTGAATGAATGAAGAGTAGGGAAGGAAAGAGAAAAGGGAATGATTGAATGCTGTCTGTGTGCCTTAAGTGCTTTGGTCCTCGTCACCAATGACCTCCTTATTGACAAATCCATTTTGTTTTGGTCTCCGTCTTTCTTAGCTTCTCAGTAGCGGCACTGTCCTCTTAACTTCCTTGACATCACTCATTCCTGGTTTTCCTCTTATCTTGTTGACTGCTTTTGTTCCTCTGCTGTGCTTGTAAATGTTGGCATGCCCAGCACTTAATCTTAGCTCTGTACCTCTACTTCTACATTTTCTTCCTGGATGATCTCATCTATTAATAGTTTCAGAGACCAGCTTTATTCATTGATTTTCCAATTTTTATCTCCAGCTCCAGGCTCCTGAGCTCCAGACTTAGATCTCTAATTTTATACTGGATAGTTCCTTTTTTTTTATAGATAATACACATCTTAACCATAAAGTAGAGAGAAAAGAACTCTCGATTCCTTCCCCAAACTGTTTCTCCCACAGACTTCCCTGGGTTCCCGAGATAAGTTCCTAGTTTCTTTGGTCTTCTGATTATCTATTTTTCACATAGCAGCCAGAGTGATCCTTTAAAAAAGTAAAGCAACTCAAGTCACTTTCTATCTTAAAACTCTTAACTATAGTTAATAATACTGTATTGTATATTTGAAAGTTGCTAAGAAAGTAGATCTTAAAAGTTCTCATCAGAAAAAAAAAACAAATTTTATAATTTGTGTGGTGATGGATGTTAACTAGACTTATTGTGGTGATCATTTCATAATAGTAGTTCTGCCTTATCTGAGATTTTGCTTTCCATGGTTTCAGTTACCTGCAGTCAACTGGGGTCTGAAACTATTAAATAGAAAATTCCAGAAATAAACAATTGATAAGTTTTAAATTGTGCACTGTCTGGATTAGTGTGATCTCATGCTGTCCTGCTACATCCTGCCTGAGATGTGAATCTTCTCTTTGTCCAGCGTGTCCACATTGTCCACACTCCCCACCCATTAGTTACTTAGCAGCCATCTTGGTTATT